TGCTTCCTTTATGCAGAGTTATCACTTATCTGCTAACCGCGACAGAACTCTAAGACAGTTTCTTTCAAACAAAATGATATGTATAGGAAACATTATCGATGTCGAATAGTTAACGATAATAGTTTCGCCTAATTTCTTTTCGCCAACATGTCGATGTCGTTTCAAAAAGTGTTGATTTTTTATGCCTGTTTTGTAATGGATTTCTCTATTTGTGCTAATTGATTTGATCTGAGATAACTCAAATCTGAAAATTCAGATTAATTAGACAAAAATAGTTTTTTTAGATAAAAAAAAAATCTTGCAGAAAAAAAGCTAAATTAATTTAACTTTATTAAAAATTTAAAGTGTAAAAATCATCCAGTTGTAAAAAATTATTTTAAAAAATTGTGAAAATCGTGTTAAAAATATCCTGATAATCGTTCAGAAGCAACAAATTGCAGAAAAAGACTATCAGCATGCATTCTGATTAATTACAAGACAAATAGAATAGAAATAATGAGTAGCAGTTAATGTTAGGACGTTTAATAAAGAATAACAAATGTTTCTAAACACCTAAAAAATCATAAGATTTAATTAATCAAAGTAAATAATAAAGTAATAAGTTAATAAAATAAAAATTATCGCAAAGAAGCAAGATAAGACTGCAAAAAAATGATTACACTGGCAAAAAATTGAAGGTTAGTTTTTTTACATGAAAAATGTTTTAACTTGGTATAAATTGTTTAAATAATTATTTTCATGATTTAAAAAGGAAGAAAACGTTACGGAACCGGCAGACAGGCGGCGATAGTATCATGATTTAATTGGCAGCAGGATACTTCGAAAAAACAAATATGTATAATATTTATCTCGACAAAAATGTATGTGAATATCGAGAACAAATCAAAATATATACATTTTTCAATATAATAACTTAAGTATGCATACTGCATGTCAGAGTTTATTTAATTATATATAACACGCGATTCTGAATTGGAAATATATATTTATAGGTCAACTACTAAAGACAAGTTCACTTGTTTAGTTTACGACAAAAGACAATCGCACATTCACACATCTCACAGCATTCATCGATATATTCCAACACTACAAAAGTAGTTGAAGCTTATTTTGGAGAGGCAAAGTTGATGATTTGCTATAGCCCGCAAGATGTTTGAACATAAATATCATTGAAAATTGTTCGAAGTTTCTAACTAAACAACTATTATCCAAAAGGAAAACAATTTAATAGCATTGAGGGATTGAAAACGTTTTTGGAAAAGAAATGGAAATGTATAAAACGAGAACAAATAAACAATTTGCATAAATGTTTCCCGGAAAATCTGTTAGAGATTGCAAAAAATAAAAGTTGCATTACAAACTGTTAACGCAAAATAAAAACATAATTCATATGTTGATTTCTTGTATGTAAAATATACGATGTGTCTTATAGTTAATAAGTGTTTTTTTTTTTAAATATAATTGTTATTTTAAATGCTAAAATTTTAAACGACAGCATTTAGTGAAAAAATATATTTTGAAATCTCTATATGCAGATAAAAAAAATTCTCTCTTATAACACAGAACTGTATAATTCATCTTACAATCACGGAGTGTAATTTGTACATTTCATCTAAGAGATCCGAAACTTTTGAATCTAATCAATCTTAATACATGATTTTTTTTACTTTAGATATTCCTCATTAAATTTAGGCATTCGTTGTAAAAATCTAGGCTTTTTTCTTTTGATTTGATTTAATTTCAAGAATAGCAATTTAGTGAAGAATAACAATTTAGAATAGCAATTTGTTGTAATTTAATTTAATTTTATTAACCATATTTTATTTGGCTTATTAATTTTGTACTTTTTGTTAATTTTTATTTTTTTCACTTTATGCCCTCTATAATATCATACTTTTTTGTATGAAATGTTTTTATCCTATATAAATAAATAAAACTAAATTCGAATGTTTTAATGTTGTTTCAGGATCTTTGATGTATAAAGTGTATAAATTTATAAAATTCAAATCAAATTGATTACTAAAATCTTTTCAAATACTTTTTATATTCCTTAGTGAATTTATTAGCTAATTTATTAATTAATCCCCAACAGTTATAATTTTTAGTACACATAGTAATTTCTTGATAATTAATTTTTGAAGCTACTTTATACCATGTTGTATATATTATACATAATTATATATTATAGTATAATAATATAATATAATATGATATTATAATATTATATAAAATTATACAAATATATGTATTTTATATATTATATTACTAATGGTCGAAAGTGAGAACTTATTTTGGATATGTCATCTTACATACCAAAAATGATTAAAATTAAAATTATTATAATTAAAGGAGTAATAATAAAATTAAAATTATTATAATGAAAGGAATAACAATAATTAAGTTTGAGTTTCCTTAACTTTTTAGGTCATTAATAATTACTAAACCGACTTCAACAAAATTAATAATTATAATTGTTACTAAAACAACTTTAAAATTAATAGTTAAAAACGTGAACTTTTAGGAAAACTTATTTTAAATATGCCATCTGATGCATTGAAGAATATTAAAAATAATGAAAAATTAATCTAAATCACTTTTTGTAATTTCTTGAAAACATATCTAAGTACCTAAAAGTTGATCTTTAAATTAATAAAAATTAATTAATAAAAGCATATTGAAGTGTGATGCAATAATTATAAATTTTTCAAAATTATATACTTATGATTAAATTATTTTTACTGTTTTACTTATTCCTTACATCAGCATATCATATATGTTTTTTTTTTTTTGACATTTATATATGTATGTTTTTAATGAATGAATATAATGAATAATGAATAAAATTTGGGAAAAAATAATATCGAGCACTATATCAGCTATTCGTGTTTCCTATTCCACGACGCTGAGTCACCTAATTATTAATATGTTTCTTCCGGCAAGTTTCCAATTTTTTTCTGTTACGCTTTTTTTCATAATTTACAAGTTGTCTCGAACATTTTATTTATTACGACTAGGTGTCATTTAAATTATATAACATATTAAAATTACATAATACACAACGTGCTGATAATTTTTAACTATAAAGTGAAGATCTTGTCCATGCGATAATTTATGTAACATTTATTACTATCGTCCAGTTTCATACACTGTGGAATTAAAATTCCTTTTAATCCACGTCGAATTGTTAATAATAATAATATCGTCGCTAAACACGTGAAATTATCATTTCTACCAAATAACTTGGTCTCTAAGTAACAATTTTCATCGGAACGGAGTCATTGTATCACTACACAGTCTAATCCAACGAAACGTTTGTGTAACCTCATCGACGAATCTCGTTAATTCTCTGATTTAACACAATAAATCGTAGCCGTGGCCTTTTGTTTGGAATTCGGTGATTGATGTAAAACGTCCTTTTTCGCATGACGGACAATTTGTCGATCGATTTGAAAAGTTACCGTGAATCGTATTGTTCGTCGTATTTCGATCGGAAAAAGCATGTTGTTGAAATATTCAAAGCCAATAATTTGATATTCTTTTCATGTAACGTGTCGGTATTACGTGTATCTATAAACAAATTAAGCTGCAGTGTATTAGAAACGTGGAGAGACAATTTGTTTGATTGTCTAAGTTATTAACATTAACCTACTATAAACTTTTAAACGTCATAAATTTCGTTGAATTTGAATTTAACTTCTTCCAAAATAAGACGAGTAAATTTAACAAAATCTGTTGTACAATATCGCAGAGATACCGATGAAAGTAAATAATAAAAGATAACTATTTTCAGGTATAAACCAGTTAAATAGTCGAAATACAAGGTATAATTTTATTTACATGTTGCTGGCTCAGGCTCAACGTGTTCAAAGTCGAGACATCGGGGCTGTCAAATGAACTGGTAGTTTAACATTGGGAGGGTTAACGAGCATTTCTTTGATGATGGCTGAACGAAACAGAGGGGGAACAACAAAAGCGAACGAGCAAGAGAAAAAGAGAGAAAGAGAGGAAGAAAGAAGGAGAAAAGGGAAAAGAGCTGGAAGGAAAGAAAAACGAGACGTAAAAAGGAACAGTGACTGTTTAGTTTCGCAGAAATCGTCGGAGGAACCGGGGTCCTTTTTCTCCGGTACCTCGGTAACCGAGTAACCAAGTAACCAAGCGACCAAGTAACCACGCGGCAGAGTAAGAATCACGAGATACATGAGGGGAGAAACGGCAGATAAGCGCCATAGTAGCGATCTCTCGGCGAGGAAAGAAAGAAGAGGCACGATCTAGTGAAACGAGGAGAGTTGCTTCGATAGGTGAAGAGGGACAGAGGCGGTGGAAACAGAAACGCCAGGAGAAGAAAAAGAAGAAGAGGAAGAAGAAGAAGAAGAAGAAGAAGAAGAAGAAGAAGAAGAAGAAGAAGAAGCCGAGTAGAAGAGGTTAATGGCCTCTGACACAGTGGCGATAAAGAACCAAAGCAGCGGAGGCGAAACCGCAGAGAATTCGAACCGACTCTGTAGAACATGAGATGAGTAGAACCTCTCTTGAGAAGAGGAACAGAGCGGAGCAGAGCGTTGCTCTGGGGTCGATGTCGATGAATATTCTCTAACTCACCGTCCTTCAAGATCGTAACATTCACATTATATTATATGTATTTCAATACATGGATACTTGGTGAAAGTTTGCTCGAATGCTTCATATTTCTTTGAACTTTGACCACTGACGCTAGAACTATCAAATATATCAAAATAATGAAACGAGGAGAATACCGGATTCATTAATATTGAAAAGTACGAAAATACTTTTGGCAAATTTGAATAAAATTACTCATTCGAGGTTATCATTGCTTGCGCAGTGCATGTTTTAAGGGAAAAAATCTTTAACGATAATTATACAATGCCATATCAGAATGAATATTTCATTAAACTATCATTTATTGCAAAAAAAATTTTGGGAAGCAAATTTTAACATCTAATATGTATATAATTCATGAAATTTGTTAATTTATTTTTTGTACTTCAATTTGACATACGTTTTCTATAATATATGCGAGATAAAATATATGCGGTATAAAATATATCTGTATGTGAGAGTAAATTATAAATAAATGAATAGAAATTTAATCCATACATTGTTAATAAAATTTGTATATTTAATAACTTATCTTTTCATAAATTTTTATAAATTGTACATTACAAATGATTTTGACTTTTGATCACTGTGTCCATTTGATACCAACATACAAATTAAATAGGTAAAATAGGAACGACTCATTAATGTTAAATATTCTGAATTATATTTTATGATATAATATATTACTAAATGAAATTTAAATAGAACATTCTAAAATATCAGTATTTTCAGTTGTATTGTTCGTGGATAGAAGTTAAATACATTTTTCTTATGAACCTGCAGATGTTCGTTACACATAAATGAAAAATAGAGTCTAAATAACGATTTATTTCATTCTTTAACTATTAAAATTCAACGTAATATTAATATTTTGCGCTGTTTATGTAATTAGACTAATTGTAATCTTTTTCTTTTTCTTCCTTTTTAGAAGCAATAAATTGTTCTTATTTGTAATTGTTGTAACAATCTCTTCGTTTTATTTCGATACAGCACTATGTATGGTTTTAGTAAAAATAAAAATAAGAATATATATATAGAAATAAGACAGTAATATACATAATTAAAAAATGTCATATAAAAAAAGCACGTTTAGGTACTTATAACTTCCAACCGTTATTTTCCTTTTTAAATGATCATTTGGAAAATTGAGTGATAAGATGTAATATAAAAATCTAACAAGTTATATAATATTTCATTAATTATTTTTTTAATGATTTTAATATCTTTATTATATTTTTAATATAATATTTTTATAATTTCATTAGTATGTATTATATAATATTTAATATTTTAAATATTACATTATATTTATTATTTTAATATCTTATTGCATGTATATGTACATGTTACATATTTTCCTGCAATGAACTATTTTGATAACTAAAAATGATTTGATAACTACTATCGTTCTATAAATGTCTTTTAAACTTGTTTTTACTTATTTCTATGAACCGCAAAGTTTTGGGTTAAATAGTCGATTACTGCAAAACGTAAAAAACAGATACTTGCTTATTTGTGTAGTATTATAGATACTAACAATAAGATTAATCCTAAAAATCGATACAGTCTGCTCATGGAATATTTAATTTTTTAGTAAGATAAATATTTTTTATGCTTCAATAAAATCTTTACATATTGTATAATAATGCTTATAATGCTTATAATATTTTATGCTTCATAATAAGGAGAGGATTTTTCTTTATAACTTTATAGTTTTATATATTGCATTATCTATAGTATAAAGACGGCAATCGTTATTATATCAATATTGATTATAGTACAGAGGCAATAATACTAATACAATATTACCATGATAGCTATTTATAATATTAAAAACTTTTTATCGATGATATCCATCTTCGTTTAACCATTCTAAAATATTTATAGGAATAAAAGTACCGTTTACCGATAACCATTACGAGTAGTCAACATGTTAGATTCCTTCCGATCTCGAAGCACTTCAAATCATGGTTATCAGTTAATTATTTAACAAGAGAAAACGAGAAACATCAGACGAAAATGCATTTCTCCAATAGCAAAGTCCTATCCTAAAGATCCTCGTTCGATTACCGCGTTACCAAATTTCTTTAGGCCATATACTCCCTCGCTAATTTTAGGCCTGCCTGAATGATGCTACAAGGTAGTATATATGCACATACGTTATACATACGTAGTGAACGTGACGATGAGATGGAAAAAGATGAGCGACGAGAGTGCGACGAGGGTAGAGAGAAAAAGAGAGCAGAGAATCGAGGGAGAAGAACAAAAAGCGAAGAGCGTGAGTGCGTGAGTTCTCTTGGCCTGTGTTCGTTGTTGGCTCTCGCCCTCGCCAATCTTGCCTGCTGCCTTTTCGAATGTCCACAATCGGCCTCCGCCGAGGCAGGTCGTTGACCTCAAGCCGGTGTACGCGAGGAAAAGACACGATGGAAAATTATGTGGAAACGCCTCGTTTAACTACGCTGTTCGAATTTTCCATCTTTCAAAACTTGATAAATCCGAGCGCCGAACTACAGCGCGGCATCGCGTCTACCACCAAGTTGACCCAAGTTTGATGAAGTTTCAGTGTCGACCTTTGCTCGCCAAGCGGACGCGTATATCGCGATAGACCGGACGAAAAATCACCGACCCGATAGCTGAATTTCAACTCGATAACCTCGTATCTGGCTTCCTGCTAAATTTTCCACGCTTTCGCGTTGCTACTTCGTTCGATGATAGGTTTCCTACCGGTTGCACGCGACATTCACGTACATCACACTATGATAAATGTCAGAATTAATGGATATCCGTAGATAAAAATAATAGATATTAGAAATTATAAACACTAGAAATAATATCGGGACATGGAGAAAGTAACTTTATCTCGCGTTATGAATTTGCAAACAAGCTTCCCTCCGTCGATTCCAGATACACATCTTTAGCATTTTTTAGTTGCATCACTTTTAGAAATAATATCGAGAAACGGAAAAAAATAAGTTTATACCTCTTATTAAAGATTTTTCTGAAATTTGTAAAAAAGGAAAAATTTTGCCAATTCTCAGCATTTCTAGTGAGCATCATTTCTACAAATAATATCGGGAAAATGGATTTGTCTTTTTTTGAGAATTGTTGCAAGATTTGCAAAAAAGACGAAAAATGATTTTTCTTCATTGATACAAAATATACACGTTTCTTGTTTAAAAAATCTCTTTATTTTTGTCCTCCTTTCCTCTATTACTACATTTTTTTTTTTTTTTTGCTAGAAATTACGTGCACTGTTCTAGAAATTCAATAAAGATTCACTAAATTTATTACGCAGATACAAGATAAATGTTTCTGTGTAAAAATACAAAACACAAAACCACATCACTCGTGGAGACACTATAAATATATTAATTAATTACATTGCAATAAAATACGACGATATTTTAAGCTACTCACTTATTAGCGCACTTTTCTGGTATACTATCGCGTCATCTTTAATACCCGTTAATCATTTTTCAAATTTCCTGGACAGAAGGCATAATAAAATACTCGACTCGATTTTTTTTAAAAATATGTAGCTGTAAATTTTTTAATTAACTCTCAACACATTCGAGACTCGTATATTTTGGGAGATTTTCAAATAACAGATGATACTTTTCTACTTACAGTAGAATTGGAATTAAAGCGCTAAATTAAGGTAATTATATTTTAATATGATCTTTGTTAAAAATATGTGATGACGTATATGTGTGTGTTATCTGTTATACAAAATCACTTTTTTGTTATATAACCAAATAGTTAAATAGTAATAAAAAGTTAAATAGTAATAAAAAAGTAATTATTAATTTAATTATATTTGATTATTTATCTCAAAGAATATTAAATTTATTTATTATGTTCACGAGCAATGCGCTGATTTATACAAAAACCATACATAAGGACGAAGACCGTGATTTTATACTATATGTAGGTATAGATCGGTATAGTATTTTGTACTATATCGATCCATTTAAGTGAGGACACTTAAATATCTTTGCTAATTGTGATGAAAATGTTAGACAAAAAATATTTTTTGTCTAACATGGATGGTATTCAATCAAAAGATCAATAACTGATTAAGATGTTTTTCAAAGTCATTGATATTTTTTTCATATAACTATATATATCGTATTATACGTGATGAAAAGAATACATAGTTGTATCATTAGGAAATGTATTTTTGTACACTCAGACATCTTTGTGCTTCTCTCTACACTAGTCATTTTTACTATTTTTTATTTGCATTTATTATAAAGTTCTGGATTGTCGTGTCTTGACCAAGGTCTGTGATCCTGAGAGAGATAAATTTATAAGTAAAACATACTAATTTTTAAGGTCATGTTATCTACATATCTGAACTATTTTTTTACCAGTTATATGTTACAATGAAAAAAAAAATATACGGAAAAAACATCAATGATCTTGAAAGGTTGAAAGAAATTTTTTTATCAGTTACTGGCCTTTTGGAAAATTTTTTTTGCATCATCACAATTGACAAGGATCAGCCATTAAACAACCCCATAAACAGA